TTCCTCAAGACCCAGTAATACCACTTTTGGGTATATACCCAAAGGATGCTCAGTCGTGCTACAAGGACATGTGCTCAACTCTGTTCATAGCAGCATTGTTTGCCATAGCTAGAACCTGGAAACAACCTAAGTGCCCTTTGACCAAAGAACGGCTAAGGAAAATGTGGTACATTTACACAAAGGAGTACTACACAGCAAAAAAAAAAAAAGACATACAGAATGACAATTATCACATGTACTCACTCATAAGTGGTTTTTAAACATAAAGCAAAGAAAAACAGACCACAGATCACAATCCCAGAGAACCTAGGCAACAATGAGGACCCTAAGAGAGACATACATAGATCTAATCTACATGGAAAGTGGAAAAGGACAAGATCTAGCTGGGCGGTGGTGACGCACGCCTTTAATCCCAGCACTTGGGAGACAGAAGCAGGTGGATCTTTGTGAGTTCCAGGCCAGCCTGGTCTACAAGAGCTAGTTCCAGGACAGGCAACAAAGAGACAGAGAAACCTTGTCTCGAAAAAAAAACAAAAAACAACATCAACAACAACAAAACAACAACAACAAAAAACCCCCACACAAAACAAAACAAAAATACCTGAAAAATAAAAAAAGAAAGAAAGAAAAAGACAAGATCTCCTGAGTAAATTGGGAGCATGGGGACCTTGGGAGAGGGTTTAAGGGGAGGGGACTCTCCTTCCACCTTTACATGAGTTTCAGGGATTGGACTTAAGTTGCCAGGTTTTTGAAGAAATGTCTTTACAAGACCTGCTGAGCCACCTTTGCTGGTCCATGTGATGGGCAACCTTGACTGTCAGCAGGGTAAGGAAAGCATTCCCCAAATATTCTGTGAAGTATTTCTAGGAAAGATCAGCTGAGAGGAGGACGAGCAGGCAGCATTACTCACAGGATTAGGGCTGGAAAGAAAGAGGGAAGAAGGGCAGGCTCCCGGGCATGGGCACCGTTTCCCAGACCTGCTCTGCTGTTACACCCTCAGTCAGGCAAAACTGCGCCCAAATCAATCTTCCCAGAGGTTTGTTGCCAAGATGGAAAAGCTAACGAACGTAATTGGCTACTGTAGAGCTTATCACCTGTAGGAGGACGAACGGTCACTGTTGATAATGATGGCGCCAAACCAAATCCAAAGCATTGCAGGGGTTTCTTATGGAGACTTTTTATTACTTATAAAAGCCTGGCCTTAGCTTAGCCTTGTTCCCAGCTAGCTCTTAAAACTTAAATTAACCTATTTATATTAAGCTACATTTTGCCATGTGATTCGTTGCTCTCTTCAGTACCACATGTCCTACTTCCTCTGTGTCTGGCTGGCGAATCTCCTGAGCCTCAGATTCTTTCCCAGGCTTTCTATCTCTCCCTGGAAGCCCTGACTAGTCTCTTCTACCTAGCTATGGGTTATTCAGTTCTTTATAAAACTAATCAGAAGATGCCTTAGGCAGGTGAGGAAGAGCAGACACATCTTCACACAGAGTACTAAAACATTATCCCAAACATCTAAGTATTTAAATGAAGTGTGAGTCTGTGATCATTCTAGTCACCAGTGGCATCATTATTGAATATCTGGAGCAGACTGTACTTGAAGCTTGTGTGACTCTAGGCTTTCCTTCTTCCTCCTTCCCTGCCTCCCTGCCTCCCTGCCTCCCTGCCTTCTTTCTCCTTTCTTTCTTTCTTTCTTTCTTTCTTTCTTTCTTTCTTTCTTCCTTCCTTCCTTCCTTCCTTCCTTCCTTCCTTCCTTCCTTCCTTCCTTCCTT